TTGGCTTCAGAAGCAGATTCCACACAAACAGAGACGACGCAATCATCATATAGTGGAGGGCGACCCCAAGAGGATATTTGGAATGAATTTGATGCAATTATCAATAGAAGAGGGATACATAAAGGGCACGATGTAGGTATTGTACTATATCATGGACTCGAGGAAGAGCTCATGAAATGAAGGCTCACCTCGCACTGAAATGTAAAGGAAGAGTGCCAAAAAATATTCGAATTAAGGTACTTCGGGATATTCAAAATGAGGATGGGTCAACTTCAAAAAAAAAAAAGAAATCAGACTATCCTATATTAACTATGGACGCATACTACGACACAAAAGAAGCCATTGATAAAGCTAAAGAAACAAGGGCCAATAAATTGCTAATCAAATGGATTGTGTGTTCCGGTATCTTATTTTCCACCTTTGATTCTCCTTATTTTGAGGATTTTACAAAGTTATTAAACCCAGGGTATAATTCACCTAAGAGAGCTACATTGGCAACATCAATCTTGGATGTAGAAGCAGTGAACATAACACTAAAAATAGAGAAAGAACTATTGAAATCTAAAAATCTAACGCTGTGTGTAGACAGTTGATGCAGTCTATTAAAACGTAGCATATATGCCTTTGTGATAATGACGGATGAGAAGAAACAATATATTTATTCTTTACGTGATTTTTCAATGTCCTCTCATACGGCAAATTTTAATGCTGAAAGAATAAGAGAAGTAATAGAAAATGTTGGACCTGAAAATTTGTTGCAGTGGTGTCTGATGCAGAATCGGCAATAATAGCGGCAAAATGTCTGGTTGCAACACAATATCTGCATATTTTACCTGTTAGATGTATTGCGCATCACATACAATTAATCTCTAGCAGTATCTGTCATTTACCTCATGCACGAGCTATTCTTTCTAACTGTCAAACAGTCATAAAGTTTTTTAGGAATTCTTATATTGCTGGTGCCACCCTTAATTAAGAAATTATATCTACTTTCACTGTCAGTAGAAATTTAAAATCGAGCACTAAAACCCGGTAGTTAACAGTATGGGATTGTTGTGAATCAATTATACGCAATGAAGGGAACATTAAATCGGTATTATTGCAATTAGATTTTTAATATACATATGAGTGCTGCCAAGGAAAACTCCACAAATCTTATTAGATAAGATTTGTGGATTTTCCCTTGATGGCACTCTATACATACATGACCATATTTTAATTAAGATAACCTATTTTTAATAGGTTTTAGAACAAGATCCTCAAATTTTTAATCGGGCGAGTGCTGTAAAAGAGTTAATTGGTGAT